AAAGATGGTTTTATCCCGCCTGCCACTATTCTTACATCTGCAAAGCAACTTTTAAATTATTTGGATTTTCAACATTTTGGAAGGCATAGGTTGTTTTATGGCCCAAACAAATACTCCTTACTGAACAGAAAAGTTTTGTGCTTTATTGAAGGATGACATTAGAGAAGATTTCAGACAGATTCCATTTACCAAATACTGGATCAGGCTTCTAAATATATTTTTTATTTATTTACATTTTAAAAAATTAAGTTTTAAGTAATTAATTTTCTTTATTTTTACCACTCTTTTCCCCATTCTTTATACAGCTAACTTTGCTCAAAATAGAAACACGCAATTACTTCCGCAAAGTTGTCTGGTTTTGTTTACATCTTTGTTCAGAAAGTAAAAGCAAAGAATAGAAAGTGCTATTGGCATTGAGTATCTTAATGCCGTACCAGCATAAGCTTCTGAGTTATTCAAAAGTCAGCACTTCAAACCAGGAAATGTCTTTATTATCAGCCATACAAATTATTCTGGTTATAGAAATGGGATTGAATACAAACATAGTTTTAATTGCAGAATGATGAACAGCTACCCATCATCCTTGTTGTGACAAACCTGGCCAATGGGCTTAATCAAAAAATGTCATTTGCCCCTCCAAAGAAATACAGAGGTTCAGCCCTGCAGCTTGAATGACATTACTTTCAAGGACTTCAAAAAGGCTAGCTTGTGCAGAGATGTGGAAAAGCAGCATGCTTGGGACAAGATAACATTGTCTGTGAGAGACAATGTAAGTAGGCCATAGGAGTTACTTGATGCCACTCAGTGGAAAATGGATAACTGCTTCAGAATATAAAGCACAGCTATAAAATACTCCTTACATGCTGTCCTATACAGAAATCGAGCAAGACACGGCATGCTGACTTAAGCTTAAAGCAGTCTGCATGCTTCACACCAGACAGCCCTTCTCACGGACATGAAGTCCTGAGGTGGCAAAGAGCACTTTCAAATGCCAAAAAAAGACACAGAGCCTGCGGGAGAGCACACAGCTCTCTTACAGGATGCTTGACATGTGCCTCTTGCTCAGCATGACAGCAATTTCTTTCTGTTGAGTAAGTAATATCACATGGGGAGAGAGCAAATCAGCTGGCCTGCTATGACCACCAGGTGAAGTGTTCCAGTTCGGTGACATTAAATGAGACTAAAATATCTCAATACTCTACAAACTGGGTCTCAGGCCAAGCAATACAATGCAGGCACAGATACCTGTATTACAGTGGCAATACATCAAACTCAATTACAGTCCAAAACAGTAAAGAAGCACTAAACTAAAAATCCAAGTTTAAACAAGGAGGAAAAAAAACACCAAACGAAAAAAATACATTTTTAAAGTGAAGACTTGCAAAATCCTTTTATCTGTTGAACCGACTGATTGCAGTGGAACCTTATAGTATCATTATGCCCCACTCTAAAACAGACTACTGATGTGCTACTTATATTTCTGACGTCTACTCAATTCATTCAAGTTTTAGATATCTAACCTAATTTAGGTTAGATTAACTCCTTTAGAAATATTTGACTGTACCTTCCAATCCGTACTGCAGTTAAAGGATTTGTCTGCACATACCATACTATCATAGAATCATTTAGGTTGGAAAAGACCTTTAAGATCGAGTCCAACTGTTATCTAACTCTGCCATGCCCACTTCTAAACCATGTCCTTGAACACCATATCTAGATGGCTTTTAAATACATCCAGGATGGTGATGCAACCACTGTTCCAGTCTTTGATAACCCTTTCAGTTTAGAAGTTTTTCCTAATGTCTAACCTAACCCTCCCCTGGCATAACTTGACACCATCTTCTCTTGTGCTATTTGTTGTTACTTGTGAGAAGATACCCACACCCACCTCTCTACAACCTCCTTTCTGGCAGTTGTAGGGGGCAATAAGGTCTCCCCTCAGCCTCCTTTTCTTCTGACTAAACAACCTCAGGTCCCTCAGCCACTACTCATAAGACTTAGTCTTAAGAAGCTTCACCAGCTCTGTCGCCCTTCTTTGGACTCTCTCCAGCACCTGAATGTCTTTCTTGTATTGCAGCACTCAAAACTGAACACAGTACTCAAGGTACTGCCTCACCAGTGCTGAGTATAACGGGACAATTAAAGCAGCATTTTTTATTGTCTTTTAAAGCCATAGCCAGATTGACTTCTAGTTGGGCTTCGGCCCTTCCAACTTTCTCTCTGCATAGCTTCATTGCATCTTTGTAGTCCTTCTGAGTGGCCTGCCCCCTTTTCCAAAGGCCATAAACTCTCCTTTTGTTCCTGAGTTCCAGCCACAGGTCTCTGTTCAGCCAGGCCAGTCTTTTACCTCATCAGCCTGTCTTTCAGGACATAGGGACAATATGAAAAATACATTGTTGTGTTATACATAAATATATATAAATATATATACACACACACACCCCCCTCAATTCTAACTTTAGTATCCAGTAATATTTTTCATTATACTGAAAAATGACACATTCGACATGAAAAGTTTTCTTACTTTTCTCTTTCATTAAATACTCATAATATCAGCTTGATTTTCTTCTGTTGTAGTAAAGTCAATGGTTTCTCTTGAAAGCAAGAGAAGGGATATCAGACTCTGTCCTGATTTTCTTAAGACAGTGCAGGCTGTAGTACAGTCTGTTTCTTCTTTTTTGTGAAAGGCTACATCAGTAAACTTCCTCAATTACAAAAAATTGTTATTTCTCTAAAAAAATATAAACTTCTGACCCCTAAAAATGACAAAAATCAAACCCTTTCACAAGACAAAGAAATGTGAAGGTTTTTCTTTTTGGAATGCTGTTCATATGTTTTCTTGAACATGCACTACATAGGCTCTTCATCTTTTCACTCCTTCCATGCATCTTCAGTGATCTTTCCCTTAGGTTTGCCTTAAGGCTTCTCTTGCTGGTGGAAACAGCATCTGAAATTTCTACAGGCTTCAAATAGCAACCTAAATTCTGAGTACAAAAGGGGATGTTTTGGCATTTCTGGGAACAGGATACTTGTTCTCCAGTAAAAATGGGAAGAAACTTGTCAAAAAATTCTGGAAAGCTCTACAAGAATTTCTACTCTGACAACCTGCAGCACAGCCTTTAAAGTGATTACATTCCTGAATCCCAGTATCTTCTATTGGCTTCCTTTTGGTACAGCCACCAAGAAGCACTCTCTCTTTTACCTCCTAAAAGTTCTTCAGGGCTTCTCTTCAACTTTTAACTCTCTTGGTGCCAGAAAGCAGGGAGGTCCATGTTATTGAAACATGACAGATATTGTAAGAAATGTCTCTTTTAACCCAAATACATGTTATCAGAAATGTGATGGTTTTATGTAGGGTGTCCAAACCTGTTTTTCCTCTGGGATGGCAGTTCCCAGAATAAAAACCAACAGAATATTTCTAAATTTTCAAGTTATTCGGAATTTCGGATTTTTGAGGGAACTTTATTAGCCAAAATTGACACAGCCATGAAATATCCCATGGAGCTCTAATAAGCAACAAGAATTGCCAGTTTTATTTTTGTTAGTAAAAGAGTTCACTATAATTGCAAATTGAAGTGCCACTGCCCAGCACTCTGCTTTAGATTTTACTAAAATTCTGAGTGGAAGAAGGTAATTTTCACTCTAAGTATTATTTTAGAAACACGCCTTTCTGGCCAGGAAAAAACAAACAAACAAACAAACAGAAAGATGAATAAATGAATGTCAGTGTGAGGTCTTTTCCAAATGCATTGACATCCAGGCACTAAGTGGACTGAAGTGGCATTCTGCTAGCTGCATGCCTCACTGTGACATAGCACAACCATGAATGCCATGCTCTAAAGTCACAGCAATTTCAGATGCAATACCTTCATTCTGTCCTGACAACCCTTGCATGCTTGTTTAACCTCTGTTTATGGCAGTCAGCTTTCCTAAACTTTCAGAAAAGTGTGTTCTAGATAAAGTCTACCACAACATATCAATGGTGTCTGCATGGTAGTTATGACTTGGCTAAAAGAAAAACAAGCAAAAAAAAAAATAATAAAGATAACTTACTAATTTGTTAGCATGCAAAAGATTCTGCACAGTTCTTCAAAACTGGTAAGGAAACCTAGCCCTTAAATTTTATCAGCTCTGTTGCAAACTTGCAACGTCAGTGTTCTTCAAATAGCTTAGCATTTGTGCACATCGATGACTAAGTTCCAAAATACAAAGCACAATCAATATAGCTCACCTATTTTTCAGAGTTTTTATTTAGCTAGACAATTACATACTGGAAAACAAATGAAGCATTTTGAAAAGTTATCTGCCATAAACTGAGTATGTTAGTCCACACAAAGATGATAATATTTTCAACTTCATCTCTGGCAAAATGCAGTCTAGTGTCAATGTTAATGTCCCTGTTACGATGCAGATAGTCATCTAACCCTGTCCTCTTAAGAATCACTTTTGCAAGTACAAATCCAATTCCCACACACTGAAACACTGTCAATAACATATTACAATATAAATACAAGTCTTGTGCATGTTACTCTAAAATAAAATAGAAAACATTCATGACATTTTGACATCACACATTTACAGTGGAACTTTAAAATAAATAAATGAATATACATGAAGTGAAGCATAAAAGGCCATAAGCTATAGAACAATATAATACAAGGACATTCTGTAGAAAGAGAGAGTGTTTCCTGGTAAAGTTAAAAATCAGAGGTTTTTACGTGAGGTAGGAACAAATTAGATATCAAGTGGTCTACAAATAGAAAAATCCACGGAAATTTATAATGAGAGTAATGATGAATGTACTCAGTGTTCTAGTCAGAGCCTTTTCACATAATGCCTTACAGTAAATATAACCAGGCCTTTATACAGTATTATTTTTATTCTCTGACATACATGTACCCCTCCACAATGAAAGTTTAAAGCACCCAGACTCTTGGCTTGAAAACAGTATGAATTTTTTATTTTGTGCTAGTTAGAATCTGACTAGAATCACAAATTCTTGAAGACAAAATGTAAATAAGAGAAACAATATGGGAAAGGAAGAGAAAAAGAGAGAAATCAGTGAGACACATTCAGATAAAATATGGAAACATCAGAAAAAACTATGTAAAAGTCCAAACGTATTTCATTTGTCATTTTGCAGCCCAGTTCTATAATTTAAAAGAATTCTGGCAACTTCTCACATGGCCTTCATTTTTCAAACAGCTTGCATAACAACTCAGTATTTTCAACACTAACTGAATTTCCTCCCATTTTACCCAGATGATTTATTAATATGTCAAACAATTCAGACATTTCAGAGGTTTCTGTGGGACTTTACCAACCTGAAAAGCCTTTGCCAGTGACAAGACCAGTCACATTCCTGCCACCAAGGCAAGCTTCAGGCATGCCTGAAAGTCACTAGGAGAATCTACTCAACCCAAGACTCTCATCTTGGTGCACTTGGGCTCATGCAATGGCATGGCTATAGATGGGACATGAGAGGAGCCCACACCATGTGGATGCCTACTAGAAACACTTCCCTTCAACAGAGTTCACTGACAGCAGCTCAGTTGATGCCTTTCTCAGCTATCTCTGCCTTGCACAGAGTTTAAGAGTGGGAGACAAGCATCTCAGGAAAGAGAGATGATGGTGCTGCATCAAGAAAAGCATGAGATCAAGCTGATGAAAGCAAGTCTTGGGCTCAGAGCACAAAGTTCTGATTCCCTAATCCTCACCTCAAAACATCACTAATTCGGATCAACACACTTCCTCAACACAGAATTCTGAGAAGTGGTCTAACACCTCTAACATCCTTGCAAGAAAAAAGCTGATGCAGAGAACTGGCCAAAGCTTTTTTTTAGTTCAGTTTGACAAAGTTATTTGCAACCAATCCAATCCAGGTTAACAGAATCACAAAAGTTGGATATATTATCTTTGGGTTGTGCTACCTTTCTTCTTACATTACAAAACACACATGGACAAATACTACACAGCAAACAAAAGAAAGCAAACACAGAAGCAGGATCCAACAGCAACAGAGACATCTCAATAGCAGAAACAGAGCTCTGGAATAACACTTTGAAAGTAAGAGATGCACACAAAAACTGTCATATAACTTCACAGGCTGAGTAATTTTAAGTGATTCTAATTGAAAAAATATATTCAACCGACTAAAATATTGCATTAATTCTTGTATTTCACTCAATCTGTAAGAACAAAAATAATCTATCTAAAAATTAAGTAAAGTATCTTTTAACAGTACAGGAGAAAAAATGGAGTATGCAGAGACAGGCACAGTGCATTTCACTGTCCCACCTCCTGTCTCTAGCCTGCCACAAAATCAATGTCAGGGCAGGCCCCCTCATGCACAATGACTCAAGAATGATAAAGGGTAAAACTGGGAGAAAGGCACAAGAACAAAGACATGCCTGTCCCAAAATAATACAGTAACGCAGAACATATATTGCTGTGGAAAATATTATAAGGTAAAGAGTCAAGATGAAATCTTACCTGCAACATAGTCACCAAATCCAATGGTAGTTAAAGTGATAACCACAAAGTAAATGGCATCTAGTGTGCTCCAGCCTTCTATGTGCTTGAATATAACTGCAGGAAGAGCAACAAACAGCACGCAGCCAAACAGTATGAATATTATTGTTGAAATTATGCGAATCTTTGTCTGACTCACATTCCATTTCTGGAAAGGGAAGGGGAAAGAGAGGAAACCCATCGTTAATAAAACTGCACCACTGTACGTAAGCACCTATATCACCCACAGTGAACACTACATTGCTCAAGGGGACAGACCATTATAATTCTCAAACAGGAAAAATCAAAGCAGGGTTTTATTTTGAAAAGGTTTTCAAAGCAAACATGACTATCCTTTGAAACATTTGCTGGTAAGAAATGCAGAGCAGGGCTGGAGTCTTCATTGTAGCCAGGTTTGTCAGATGGGTAAGTGGCATGTGTAGTGTTCATTATATTAACAGATGATCATGGTAAAGTTTTGAATGGAACTAAATATTTGAGTGATCTTCAAGTAATGCTTACACCTCTGATGTTTCTTTTTTTTCCATGCACAAATAAGTGAATAAAAATGGTGAATTTTAACCACAGAGTTCTCTCTAAACAAGTAACTGGCTAAACAGAACCACAGAAAATGGACCTGGAAGGGACATGAAGAGATCACCTCTCCCAAACCTGCCCCAAAAGAGAAACAACCCCAGCTAAGTCACTGCAGACACATTATTGCCCAGGCAATATGTACTCACGCTGAACTGTTCTTATAATCAGAAAGTTTTCCTGATGCTTAACCCTCCTCAGTTCAAGTCTACTATTTATGGTCTTACCCAAGGCAAACAAAGACATTACAAAAACATACTTTGTTTTTTCCACAAACGTTTACAGGCATTCCAGTCATATACTCTTTAGACCAAATAAATGCATTTCTTTTAGTCTTTCTTCACCTGTCATATTTTGTTGCTGGAACCAAGGGTAAGCAAGCTAATGCACATTCCTTTAGGTGGTGCAGTCAATACTAGATACTAAGAAAATCACAAAATAGAGTGGAAGGATCATTTCTTATACTTTGATTATTTATTTACACTCCTATTTATACTTCTAACTATAACATATGCTTTTTTACAGCAGTATGGCATGAACTCATGTTAGCTTATGAGGCCCTGGAGTGCTTAAAACTCTTCTACAAAATCACATCTAGACAACTGTTTCCTGACATGTAATTGTATATTTTACTATTCTTTCATATAGTACTTAGAATTTGTCCTTCTTGAATTGAATCCTATATATTCAGGCTGCTTTTCAAAATTTGAGAGCATTTTGAATTCTAATTCTGTCCTCCAACTTTTCGTTCTCTTCCCAGCTTGAGATAATCTGTAGATTTAATAAACCAAGTCCTTTATCTGTTGTGTAAGCTACTAACAATTTTTTTTTAACTGTACCAAAGCTAGAACAGGCCACTGTGAAGTCCTGGTTGACTTGCCCTGTGAATTTGACGTTTTTCTTCTCAATACTGTTTTCCATTCAAAGTATGTTGGTTCAACTTAAAGCAAGAGATTGCACAAAACCAGAAACTTTCACAAAAGGAGACAAAATATTACATCACACTGTTCACAATACATGTTTTCTTGTATTTAACTTTAGTGCCAATGGAAACTATGTTTTACAGTCAGCAGGTACAAGGTCTAACTTTTGTAACCCAAATCACAGTACTAATTCGTGTTATAGTAATATGAAATTCCCTGCTCTGACCCATCAGTGTCTTCCAGTTCTTCTTTTGAAGAACTAAAAACAGAACAAGGGAGTGTTCCAGACTGCAACATATAGATTAGTGTTTTCATTCAGACATTGCCAAAAGGGGACAAGATGCTGATTTTAGGTTGGGGCATTCTTGTTTTAGGGATGCATCCACTACAAAAAAAAAGGAAAACCATTATCCCTATTAGCAGCAGGCTAAGAAAGACACAAATTGGTCTCAAATCTTTTGTACTTTTAAGCAAAAAATGAAATTCCATGATTTAAAAAATTGAAAGGATAAGAACAAAATGTTCTTACGGAATGCTGTTGCCTTTTTTAGGCAAATCTCAGTGGAAATGGGTGTTATTCACCAGTAACATGTCTGGACTTGAATTGAGGCTTCAAAGTGAAAAATATCTGCCTTTTCTTAAAAAGCTTTCAAGCTTTTATTTACCTATTGCATGACTACTCAGCACAGCCCCAGTTTGCTTTGCTTCAAAAATAAAGCCATGGCAGACCCTTTCTATACTGAAAAAGTACACTGCATGCAAGACAGGGCTTGTTGCAGTAAAGCAATCCTTCTAATACTTGCAATGCTGATGCAAACAGCTAAAAAGTCAGGCTGCTTACTAAGCATTCACTGGATATGACATACTCTATATATCATAAGAAAAATAGTATTTCATTCATATTTTGAAGGCTAGGAAATAGTTAAACCTACAGCATTTGATTAAAGGTAAGACACCTAAATAGTTAATAAAATTAAGTTTAATGATGACATTTATTCTATGCCTCAAGAATATCAGTAAATACATTTTTAATAACCGCTTTATTAAAATACAGCCTTAATAAACTTTTCTGTGTGTGAAACAGAGACTAAATTAAGTAAATAAGGTTTCTCTGCTAGAATTCAAAGCATTTGGTTGTTAAGGACTGGCTATGGCTGAGGGCTACAGCTGAGCTTTTGATAAAGTATCTGCACAAGCTTCTAGTCTGTTTGGCAGATTTCTTCCTCTACTGAAGCTGTGTCACTTTGCACAATTAATTAAAGATTGGTAGCCAAAGAAAATGAAGGGCATGCTTTAGGCTGTGCTAAGCAGCTCATCAGAAGAGGCTGAAAATACTTTATATAGTACAATATTCTGCAGCCTAGTGAGGAGATCAAAGAGGAGTCCAATGTCAGGGAAGTACGAACAGGCTCTGTACCGTTTAGGTTGTCCTGCTTCTGTGAATGCTCAAAGCTTTAGTCACCCACAGACTTGTAAATCTGGAAATATAGATGCCGACAGACGGTCAGCATTTCCTCTGGTATGACAGCTTCTGAGTAAAGATTTGAAGATTTTTGATTTTAGGCTCAGACACCAAAGGTCTTCTGTGAATCAGCTCAAAGCAACAGCAATAATTTCCACATGTTACCCCTACAGCTCCACTCTTCCATCTCTCTGAGTCAGCGATTTCCTACCCCAATCAATATGACAACCTTTAAAGGTAAACATCACAGCATGCTTAGGAGTATAAGGGCAAAGCAAAATATAAAGTGTTTTGGTTCTTGTTCCTCTTCCCAACTGTAATTATTATAGAAAGCATTGGGCTTCATCCAATTCTCAATTAACAACATTCAGTAACGTGTTCAGACTTTGCAGAGTTCTTCCTACCTTTTGCTAGACATCTTATTACAATGATGAGCTATACCCTGTTTTTCAGGCTTTCCATTTCACTTGTTAACTTCAGAACAAAGAGCAGCATGAAGAACAAATGAGGCAGTCAGCATACTCACAACAAAGGTATCTTCTACTTTGGCAATTCCCTTTCCAAAGATTGTCCCTAGTTGATCTCCAACACCAGCCAACAGAAAACCAAACAGAGGAATTCCCAGTAAGGCATAGATGATACAGAATATCTTTCCACCTTGTGTGCGTGGGGAGATGTTTCCAAAGCCTAAATTACAAACAACTTGAGATGTTTAAGAAGTTACATATATTACATTACACATTTTAAAAGAACAGTTTGCAAACAAGTCCTTAGTTAACCATATGACACAGAAAACATTGTGAAAAATCAAATGAAGGTATAGGTCATATAATCTTCTTTGAGCTGAAATTAAACTGTTGCACAATTCACCTTTTTTTTATATTGCATATATACTGTAGATAAGGAAACTCTACCATTAGAATTTTTTTTAAAAATATTATTTAAATAAATTACAGCCTTTGTCAGCTACTACATGTAGTTAATACCAATTGGTTAAGATACGCCTTAGCCTCTGCTACCTGGAAACATCTGCTACTGGATATGTAATTGGCAGGCTGCAGTACTTGTAAAAAAGATACAATTTTCCTTCAGAAGTGATGTATTTCAAACAGAAGCAGCCTGAGAAAAGCCACTTGGATAAGCAAAACAGGGACTTCTGGAATAAATGGGATTGCTTAGTGTCTTCCTTATTAAAGGCTTTGGCTCTTTCAGTGCTGCAAACAAAGCTCAGAGAAACTGTTTACAGTGCACAGCTCTGTCCATTTGAAAGTGAAAATCATTTCGTCTTCACTGGCTTGTGTGTAAAAGCACAATGATGTGCCTGTGATACCTGCTGGTCCACAGTGGAGAAACTGGAATACAAAGAGCACAGGCCCCAGCACCTGCAAAATACCCTCAGGTGCATCTCCTAGGACTGGTATTTTAATGATTTGCCCAAGGTCACTGAGGCAGAACCCTACAGACAAGTTTCATGAGCATCAGCCTTCAGTTTTAATTCAAAAGTTTTTCTCTTCTAAAGGTTCACTCAGTGTTTTTGGGAGAGTAGTGGGGCAGTTGTAGTAACACTCCAGCATTTTTGACATTGTTTCACTTTTCAGCACAAAGTACTGAAACTTCAAGGGAAACAGCACAACTTTGAAGGAGAGAGTCTTATTTTATCTGGGTAAAAAGAATACTTTTCATATACACAAAAATCACTCTATGAAAATAAAATTTTCATTAAAAAAAGCCCATAGAGCTGATAAAATTTGTCTATTGAGAACTTGCAATGTTAGTTTTCTTTCTAAAATGGCTTAGTATTTATGCACAATGACTGTAAGCTTCCACAATGAAAAACATATTTAAATAATAGCTTATCTATTTATCATAATTTTTATTGAACTGTTTTGAGCATGTTGTTTTAACATATATCTAGATTTTCTATATGAAAAATATTAACTTTTTGTTCCGCTCTCACATGAGTAAGCTACACGAAAGCTGTGCCAAAACTTCTGTTTTCTTTCAGTACACAGGAGACAAAACTACCCCTCACCCAACTTCATTAAAGAAAATCACATTGGGAATCTATTTTACTCATAGATATTTTGCCCTAGTGTCTGTTACCAAATGGCAACTGTGCAAACAATGAATGCAATGTTGATAGAGTTCACCTAGATTAAAAAAAAAACCTATTAAGTTCACATTTTCCCCAAATCATGACTAATAAACCCTGTCAAACTAAACATAAAGGACAAAATTACAGGAAACATCATCAATTACAGGTCATGGTGTCCTCTAACTTCGCAAGCTTTCCCTGCACTAGTATAATAAAAAAAGCCTGACTTAGGGAAGTGGAATAAAGTCACAGCACCTTTAGTCCAACCTAGTATCCTTCTGTAACCCATAGCTGAAACTACTGATTATTATAATTCAAGAAATTTCAGCTCCACTGAGTTCACTCTGTCCCTTCATGCACCAAACACAAAAGACCCTGGAGTTTTAAAATAAAATTAGCTCATCACCAACCAAAAAGAAACAAATGGATCCAAGCTACCATTTTCATGAGTGTGCCTGTTTATGCATCAATGGGAGCTTGAATAGTTGCCAGGGTGTAATTCCTTGTGGTGGGGCGGTGGGGTATTAATGCAATTCAGAATCAGGGGTCTGGACACACCAGATATATAAAACTCATACTACAAGATTTGGAAATCATTCTCCCTTTTTTGGTTTAAGAACTCATACTACAGGATTTGGAAATCATTCTCCCTTTTTTGGTTTAAGAACTGTATTCACTTCCTCTTCTTGTAATGGTGACAAAATACCAGCCCAGTGAAGCACATGCCAAGCAGACAGCTTTGCTCGGGTAGCTTCATAAAGCACACTGGCATTCTCTGTGCATCCCATAGCTATTACAGAGACAACTGTTGCTGTAGCATATTTCATGGTGACATGAAGTTCATGTTCAGCTCTATGTATTCTCCTCCCTAAATCAGTCATGCAGTGCTCAAGAAGAGGATGGTGCTTCGCTTGTCTTCTACTCTTACAAATTGTTGCTTTTCTTCAATAAACAACAAAAAGGTCTCATATTATTAATTACGCTTAAAAAAAATCTCACATATTACTGGATAAAATAATACTCCAGTAGGCAGTAGTTTATCTCTGTCCAGATGCTCACTACACAATAGAAACCATGGTGTGCGCATTACACATGTGCTTTAGTGAACTGATCTACCGAGGGGTTTCTATCACACATTCATCATAGTTCCTACAGTGTCATGTTTCATAATAGTCTGCTGCTGTACACCACAGCCTACTTCACAAGTTACACAAGTCGTCCTTACATCCTACTCTCAGTTTTTCCAGTGAAAAGCTAATCCATCATTTATGCAATGGGAGAGGTAACGTATTTATATTTCATATAGTCGACGTAATTCCTGAGGGCTTTGTCTCAAAAGAATTATTCATTTCTTGAGGGGGAGGGGAAATCAGAATAATCCTGCTGCTAGGTAAAACTCAAGGGAAACTTCATTATGGGCACTGCGCTTGAAGAGGAG